CCACAACGCCCAGCTATTTTTTTTTTTTATTGTAGTTGTCATTGTTGTTTGGCAGGCCCGGGCTGGATTCGAACTCCGGCTCTGCGTATGTGTGGCTGGCATCTTAGCCGCTTGAGCTACAATCACTGAGCCTCATTTCCTTAGTTTTCTAAATTACTACTTTGTTATGACTTTATGACAAAAAACCTTGAATTTTGAACCAATCATCCCCTTCCGAAAAACAATCTAAATTAGGTGATATTTTATTATGCGGCCTTGGTTAGCTTTCAGAATCCTTTAATAAAAAGAAAAAGAATATTCTTCCACTTTACCCTGGAAATGAGGGGAGACATTTCAAATAAGGTGGAGCTTTCTTTATTTTGAGTCCAGTCCCTAGAAAATCAGTTACAATGGCCTGAAGACAATTTTTGAAAAGAATGGAGTTTAGTATTTTTTTCCTTACTGAATATATGTAGAAGCATAAAGAAAACAAATGTTAGTTTGAAAAGTCACTCACCCAGGTGGTAGGGGAGCTTGAGTTACAGGATTTAATGGCCTAGGGCCTGAGCCTCCAGATATCGTAAGAGGAATTATTAATCCAGACGTTGCTCCTTCAGATGTATTTGTATTTGTTGGTGGTAAAGGCCCTGTACTAGATCCATCACTTTCAGAAGTGGCTGATGGTGAACCATTAACAGATGCTATAAATGATGTAGGGAAAAATGGGAAAATAATTTTTTATTTTCTGAAATCTAAATTCAAGATAGAATTTTACTTTAAATAAGGCAGGTGACACATACAAAACTTAAGATTAGGTATACAGTTCAAAATTTACTTAAAGAAAATAGATAATGGGAAATAGTCAATGTTCCCACTTAGGTCCTATCTACCCCTGTGCCTCATTTATTAATTATAAAGTATATATAGATCCTGATAGGAAATAAAAATTTTTAGAAGAAAGCATTAGTATTACTTGGTATTTTAAGTTCATTTAGTTATTTTCTAAATTCTTTCTTTCTTTTTTTTTTAAAGACAGAATCTTACTTGGTCACCGACTCTGTAGTGTTCTATGGCATCTTAGCTCACAGCAACCTCAAACTCTTAGATCTCAGGTGATCCTCTTGCCTCAGCCTCCTGAGTAGCTGGGACTATAGGCACTTACCACAATGCTGGCTATTTTTTAAACATGGGGTCTACCTCTTGGCTCAGGCTGGTATTGAACTCCTGAGCTCAAGTAATCCACCTGCCTTGGCCTCCCAGAGTGCTACGATTATAGGTATGAGCTACCACACCCGGCCTAAGCAGTAACCTTCTTACAAATAGTTATTGATACTACAATATTAATACTACAATGCTAATGATATTGATTGATACTAGTTATTATTGATACTACATCTTTATGAAAATAAATACCAGTTGACAAAACAATTCCTAGAAGAAGTCAATTAATATTGTGACACAGAGGTATACAGTCTTAAAGACTTGGAATACATTGCTAACAAAATACTTTACAGAAGAAGGGGAAGATGTATAATTGAATACAAATTCATTTAATAAAATGACTTGTGGACACTGACTTACTTTTCTAGTACTTGGTTTAATTACTTTGCACTCTCTGCCCACATGCTAGCAGAGAGAAATGAAAGATTTATTTTGGCTAATTAGAAAAACAGATACTCCACCTACAGGTGTTCACATGTTTATGCATAAAATATGCTCATTTGTTCTGTAATTTTTGCTTTAAAATCTGTATCACTTAGCACTATTGGGTTATTCAGCATTTACTAATTATCTTTTTGAAGAACAGACTAGTTAACAAGCAACTGAATCCCTGGCTATCAGACATGCTATTTCACACATTTACAAACCATACTAAGAAACTTGCAATTTTAACTGTACTATCTATATTTTATATAACGATTGTGCGATTTTCATTCTCAACAGAGTACTGCCTCATTAACTTTATATTGGAAATAAAACTTATGGAAAAGGAACTTCTTGGTTACTCACAGAAAGATGGCTATTGGTCAAAATCTCAAATGTAAAAATACAGCCAAAAAACTGACCAAAAACAATCTCCTAACATTTACCTGAGTATCAATTCCCAAACAGAATATTTTTACAATCACAGTACTGAGGACTGGGATACACACCTGGTCTACGTGGGGTAGGTGGAGGTGGTCGTGAAGGTCTTGGAGGCCTGGAAGGTTTAAAACCACCATTTGAGAGTGATGGAGAATTATTCCCATTAATCCTCCTATTTTCACCAGCTCCTGCATCCTCAGGATCATCTGACCCATTTGGGTTCACTCTACGTAATAGAAAGGAGGAAAAGAAATGGAAAGAGAAAATTAGTAAGTGTTTTTTGGATTTAAGAAAAAGGCTGAGTGTGGTGGTTCACACCTGCAATCTTAGCACTTTGGAAAGTCAAAATAGGAGGAATGCTTGAGGTCAGGAGTTAGAGACTGGCCTGAAAGAGTAAGACCCTGTCTCTACTAAAAATATAAAAACTAGTCAGGAGGCTGAGGCAAGAAGAACTGTTGAACCCCCTGCTGTAAGTTATGACGGCATGGCACTCTTCCCAGGCAACAGAGTGACACTTGATCTCAAAAAATAAAAAATAAGGCCAAGAGGCTCAGTGCCTGTGGCTCAAGTGACTAAAGCACCAGCCACATACACCAAAGCTGGTGGGTTCAAACCTGGTCTGGGTCAGCTAAACAATAATGACAACTGCAACAGAAAACAGCTGGGCATGTGGTGGGAGCCTATAGTCCCAGCTACTTGGGAGGCTGAGACAAGAGAACCACTTAAATCCCAAGAGTTTGAGGTTGTTGTGAGCTATGATCCCGTAGCACTCTACCGAGGGTGACAAAGTAAAACTCTATCTCAAAAAAAAAAAAAAGGAAATTACTTTGTTCATTTATTTGTTTTGAGAGAGAGTCTCACTATGTTGCCCTTGGTAGACTGCCATAGTGTCACAGCTCACAGCAACCTCAAACTCTTGGGCTTAAGCAGTTCTTTTGCCTCAGCCTCCCAAGTAGGTGGTGCCCACCACAACACCCAGCTATTTTTTTGTTGTAGATGTCACTGTTGTTTAGCAAGCCCAGGGCAGGTTTGAACCTGCCAGCTCCAGCATATGTGGCTGGTGCCCTAACCATTGAGCAACGGGTGCCTAGCCTAAGAAATTACTTTGTTTGATGACTTGAAATATGGGGGAGGGGGGAGATTATTAATTAGTGCGACAGAAGGGTTCTTGCTGCTTCTTATACAATTGATAACAACTGGTAGAATGGAGCAAAAGTGGGAAATTAAAGTTTCTAGTTCTCACTCTGTTACTGATAAGTTATGTGACCAAGAAAGGTCTTAATCTTTCTGTAACTCAAAATTATCTTGTTTGTACGATTCCTCCTGAAAACCTTTCAGTTAGAAAATTCATACTAAATTGCACATTTAGAGCTTGACAAGTTTTAGGGATACTTGAGGGAGAAAGAACATTCAGGGAATGAGGTACATCTGCCACGATAAAGGTACAGAAGCACTGGATTATAAAAACGGTATGATTTGTTAAGGATTAAAATCCATGATTTTAACATCCATGCTGTTCACCCTTCTAACATTTTTATCTGTTTAGCAACATTACTATCTGACAACTTGAGGAGTATAACTCCTTAAATTTCCTTGATACTTAAAATTGCTCTCTTCCTAGATATTAAATTCTAAAATTCCACCAACTACAACTTCCTATTCATTCTACCTGCCTTCTATAGGATCTTTTATTCAGTCTCACCATGACCTTCCAACTCCTCAGTCTTCACAGTTCGTCAGCTCCCTTCAAGTCTCCCATGGCTTCATTATAGGCTACTTTCCCTAATACTAGTACTTTTCATTCCTTCTCCCTTGCCCAAAAGCCTCCCCTCTCCCAGCAATCCTTTCACTACAACTAATCCTTCACTTACTTTTTCCACTACTATTCTTTGTGGCCAATATGTAAAGCTGAGGTATGTTCCAGTGTATTTTAGTAAATAAACTAGGTCGTATATCAAAGAAGCAGACTATTCTACAAAAAGTCTTGATGGATTTTCCATTGGACCCAACAAGGAAAAGTTCTGAGGTTTTCACTTCCAATGACTCACAAGTCTTTTTCTCCTTGCTTTTGTTTGTTTGTTTGGTTGGGTGGGTGGGTGGTTTGAGATAAGGTCTTACTAAGTCATCCAGCTAGGGTTCAGTGGCATCATTATAGATCACTGCAACTCTGAATTCCTGGGTTCAAGTGATCCTGCTGTCTCAGACTCTGGAGTAGTTGGACTACAGGTGCATGCCACCATGCCCAGTTACTTTTTCTATTTGAGACAAGGTCTTGCTACAATGTTCAGGTTGCCTTTTCCTCCCTTTGTAAAAAGAAGATATTATAGCTCAAGTCTTCTGGGAGCTAGGGAATTAGAAATGACAGATGACAATGACAACCTTTGAATGTGATTAGTATACTGGCATTAAAATTAACAGTAATAAAAAAATTAATTTACTACAAAAAAGTGTTTACTAGGTCCTGTATGGTCATATAGGTCAAGGAAAAAGAAAGTTGAAATTGTTCATCTTCAGTCTAAAGTATTCTAGATGGGCAGTATTCAAGTTCCTAAAGCTGGATTATGTCAAAGAGACTGAGGCAAAATGGGCTATAGTCCATATTATTCAACAACTTCAACTGGGCTAATCATACTGCTTGGAAAGTCTTTGGAATTATCATTCCCCAAAATAAAATTAGCTGTTATCCCTCAATTTTCTTCCCTACCTTAAAATTTCTTTGTTTCACTCATCATCTTCATTGTTTTTCCCCATGTCTGAAAAAGTTTCTCTCTCCTTCTTCAAGCTAATTTGTCTAAACTGTTTACATATCCTTGTTGCAGACTACATCCTCTAGGACTTTCCAACATTATTTAATGCCTTTCTTGTATCTTCATTATATTCCTTCTTTTAAGTCCTTCCTCTCAGTCTATAAATGCAATCAACCATCCCTACCTAAATTATTTTCTCAATCCTAAGTGCTCTTCAAACTGTTTTCTAACTCCCCTTTCTTTCATTATACTTTTTTGTATTTATGCAACTAATTTACATAGTACATTTTAATTTTTTAAAAAGACTTTCAAGGCTTGGTGCCTAAGGCTTAAGTGGCTAAGGTGCCAGCCACATACACCTAAGGTGGAGGGTTCGAATCCAGCCCGGACCCGCCAAACAACAATGACGGCTGCAACCAAAAAATAGCCGGGCGTTGTGGCGGGCGCCTGTGGTCCCAGCTACTTGGGAGGTGGAGGCAAGAGACTCGCTTGAGCCCAGGAGTTGGAGGTTGCTGTGAGCTGTGATGCCACAGCACTCTCCCCGGGGGGATAGCTTGAGGCTCTGTCTCAAAAAAAAAATAAAATAAAAAAATAAAAAGACTTTCAAAATAAAAGAGTAACTTCTAATTAGAAAATAAAAGGTACTTGAAATCCCCATCCTGAAAATATTTACCACTAAGATATGGGAGTATATCTTGCCAGCCCTTTTTCATTGGATACGATTGCAATCATACAAGGTGTAACAGTTTTGTATTGTAAAATAGGTTTTTGTTTTGTTACTCATCACTACTGAGCATTTCTCCCAGATTATTCAAAATCATATGGATATACCATAATTCAATCATTTTCTTTTCATTGATATTTTTGTAAATTTTATTTCCTTCAGACTGAATACCAGAATAGAATGGCTGGGCTACAGCACGTAAATATTTTGAAGTCTGAAAATACTGATTGCTATATTAAAAAAAAATAAAGTGGACAGGTAAGTAATGAGCCGTCAAAAAAAATTTTTTTAAAGGTCATAATTGATCTGTTCTCTCATTAGCTGTATATGAAAATGCCCATTTCACCATGAGATATTAAAATTTGGGGGCTGGGTACGGTGGCTCATGCCTGTAATCCTACCACTCTGGCAGGCCAAGGCGGGTGGACTGCCTTGAGCTCACAGGTTCAAGATCAGCCTGAGCAAGAGTGAGACCCTGTCTTTAAAAATAGCCAGGGATTGTGGCAGGCACGTATATATAATCCTACTCAGGAGGCTGAGGCAACAGAATCTCTTTAGTCCAAGAGTTTGAGGCTACTGTGAGCTATGATGCCTTGGTCTATAGGCGAAAAGCCTGTATGTCTTTGCCTCTGCTGTTTTTGAGAGCAAGCATGTACAAATCTGGCCTGGCACAATTCAGGAGAAACTGAGGCAGAACTCCATTTGACCTAGTGTTAGGCTAAAAGTTGCTGAAAGTCAGGACAATGGTGACTCCATCTTATGACCCCCCCATCTTTTTGCCCACTACCAAGTTAGGCCCATAGTGGAAACTTCCACTGAGCACCTGAAGCCACCTGAGCTGTGTGAACTCAACCGCAGGAACCACCATGCTCCATTTCTATGAAATACCTTGCTTGTAAAAATTGCTCATCTTTGCTTCTGTAAACCAGCTTGCTTCGCTCAGTTAACACCAGAGGTGTCCAGACGCCAAGGGCTCGAGCCCCTCTTCTGTGCCTATATCCCTTAAATACCCCCCACTGCTTAACCTGCTGCTGCGCTCCATAGTCTTGTAGGCTCGGGCAGCAGGTCGATGGATCATTAATAAAGGACTGTATTATCTTTTAAATCTCATCTGAAGTGCTCCTTTCCTCAGTGGCTCAAAGATTTTATGCCCAACACTAGCACAATGGAGGTAAAATTCCTGTGCTCAGGCCAAGAGGCTGGGGGGTGTAGGCACGTCACTGGTATGTCTCAAGGACCTCCTAATTGTGGTTTTCCAAGATTAAGTTACTGCCTCCAGATGGCCTGAGGCTGCAACTGCAGGCAAATTCTCCCACAGCAGTTTCCATATCTATCAGGAAGTGGACTAGGGAGTTGATAGTCTGCTTTTTCATGGCTACTATTTTGAGTATAATAGATAACTTAGAATAATGTGTCTCACTTGAAAAGTTAGTCTGTTTTTTACAATATGTTAGTGAGGTAATGGTATGAATATTAATTAGCAGCGTGTACTTGCAGCACTGGCTATATAAGCTGGGAAGAAAAAGAACTTTGCTATTTGCCGTAAAAGCAGTAGCCTCCTTTATTGTATACAATTTCAATTGCAGGTCTACACCTTGCATCACTGACCACTCACAAGAAACATCACGTAACATTGGTCTCAAAAAATAAAAAATAAGACTGGACGCAGTGGCTCACACCTGTAGTCCTAGCACTCTGAAAGGCTGACATGGGTGGATTTTCTGAGCTCAGAGGTTTGAGAACAGCCTGAGCAAG